GCACCAACCACCCCCTTTGCAGAAAGGCCCAAGCAGGGGAAGATGTTGCTGTTGCTCAATGGCCCTGTGAGGGCCTGGGTCCTTCCTGGCGCCGCTGGAAATGGATGGGTGACACGGCTGAGTTGCCAACCCCAAGAGCAGGCACCATCATCACCATGACGAGCAACGTCTCAAGGATGGCACAGACTGGCCAGGTTTGCCTCCTCAAGTCTCTCAACCCATTACCGGGGGATTCGTGGCTTTCCTTGGGAACACAGCTGGATGCTTTGGGGAACCCTGGGGTGGAGATCAGAGGCCATTACCCACTGACCATCACACCCATCACTGCTGCCAGTGTAGCCGGTTGGTTGCTCCTCACTATCCCCTCCAACTCTCCCAGCGCCAGCAGGCGGATGCACCCCGGCCCCAGGCGCAGGTGTTCGCACTGGAGACCACAGTCCTGGGGAACAGGGCTGCCTTCCCTGCCTGGGGCAACCCGCATCCTGCCACAGGGTTAAACTCCCCAAGGAAAGGAGGGAGGAAGATAGGAAAAACAATCACAAGAATTTGTTTCATGCTGCCTGGATCCCTCCCCGCACGCAGCAGTGTTTTTGGACGGCCGATTTATAATCAGCAGTGTGGAATGTTGTAAATTAAATATTTTTAAACAACTTTGCTCTCTCTCTGGTTAAACATTTCAGAGATCGCTCTTTCTTGTCTGTCTCTTGCTGGGTGGTCCCTCCATTCGCCCGTACATCTTCCTCAAACACAATTAACCATTTAGATGTTGCACAAAGGAATAGCTTATGCATACAACACCAGTCGCTTGCTGCTCTGACGCTGGGGGAGGGAGGCAAATAAGAAGGCAGCTTCTTTTATTTTCTACTAAAAACAAAAACAAGAAAATCCCTTTTTCCTTCCCAAACTATCCCATTTTTCCTTGAATTGTAAAGGCACTGATCCAAGCTCATCAGCTGTCTTGGTCCTCAGTCCATCAATCCCCTTGCCGTCCCCCATCCCCTGAAATTCAACATTAGCATTTTAAAAGCCTAAAACATACAAGTTTATTTAGACTCAAACTCTCCCAAGCTCTTGCTTTCCATATTTATATACACACGTATTTTAACGTATATAAAATGTCTGTCTATAGGAGCTGGAAGGAAGTTCCCGTCTGCCGGCCCGTCTGGGAGGCACAGGCGCGGCTGTGGACCTTGGCTCCTGGGAGATGGAGTGAAAACCGACAGGATCCAGAAATCAGCCTTCTGCCGGAGAGGGAGCGAGCCTCGGTGGGCAGGCTGCTGCAGAGGTGCTGGGTGCTGGTGGGGGAATCTCCACATCCCCAAATTAACTCTGCAGGCAGCCAGTGAGAAGGGCCCCATGCTCTGCGCTCCCCCATGGCTCTGGGATGCGCCAGGTCAGTGCACAGTGGGCAGCCTGCAACGCCAAAGGCCCCAGCCCCAACTGCACACTGCAGTAATCAATCCTTTAAAACAGATAACCAAAGGCCACCACAGGAGTGGCTGTGTGTGACGGGAGGGCGGCACTGCTGTGTCCTGGGGCTGGATTACACCACACACTGTGCAACGTGCGTCTGTCACAGCACTGCCGCCGGCACAGGCGGCTCCTCTGCGAGCCCCACGTGGGGCTCCATCCCACTCTGCCTTGGGCACGGACCACAGCAGCCACTACTGGCCTTCACTGGGGACTTGGGCCAGTGTGAAGGCAGTAAGGCACCTCTGGAAAACAATGGTGCTCCCCAGACCTGTGAGGCTTTATTGGGAAAATACTCATCTCTGGACCAGCAAAGTCCAAGGGTGCCCGGGGCATGGTGAAAAGCACTCTTCCCAGGCAGCCAGAGGAAGGACAGTGGGGTGCAGAGATAGCAAGGAAGGCAGCAGGAGCATGGCTATGCACAATCAACCTTGGAGACTGATGGCAGTAAAAGATTGTCAAGTCCTTGTGATCACAACCCTGAGAGATCCAGGAGAATCCTACTGCAAGGGCTGCACACACAGTGTCACCTGGAGAGGTGACCAGGGAGCCAGACCTCTGTAGCTGAGGTCATATGACTGCTCAGGCTCTACTCTCCCCTTCCTGCCCACAAACCAAAAAACTGTCCTAAAAGCAAGATCAGAGCTAGGTGCAAAGTTTTTGTGTCCATTTGAACACCATGGGGGTGGGAAGCCCACCATCCCTGGGAATGGCTGCCCTGTTTGCCTTCACCTCATGTGGCTCTCTTCCAGGGCTGCCAGGAAGATGGGAGCCATCTGCTTTGGTTTGACTGCAGAAGGGATCAGATGAGCTGCTGCTTCTTGAAAGATCCCAACAGCCACCTACAAAAGCAAACACAAACTGCTGAGGGAGGTGAGCCACAGCTCTGGGTGTGTGCAACTGCCCAACACATGCTCTTCCCAAATCTGCATCTTACAAATGAGCTTGGCTGCAAAAATCTTGGCAAGCACTTGGCTGCAGAGCTGCTGCCAGTTGCACCCAGCTCTCATAGGAGCCAGAGTGAGGGGTCAGACAGAGCTCAGGTGCCTCTGCCATGGCGTGCCAGCAGGGCAGGACTCACAGGAAGAAGTGTGGCCAGGTGCACACACACACCAACCCTGCTGCCCTGGTGACAGGAAAAGCCTTTTGGGAGCAGCTAGCAAGACACCACTCAGGAAAGCCAGTGGTCCTGCTGGCCATCAGGACATCAGGAAAACCTCTGCTTTACCCCATGCAGATCCAGCACGGGACAAGCCACTGCAAGAACCTTTTCACAGCAACCTGGCGTTACATCTGCCAAAGAAGTGTTCAGGACGAGTCTGTCGAGAAAGAGCCAGCGCCTACAGAACTGGAGAACTTTCATCTCCTTCAGAGAAATGTTGCCTATATAGCACCACCTTGACACCAGTAACACTGTGATGGGCACAAGCTGTAATGCTCAGCTGCCTGGGGGTGACAGAGCATCTTATTTGTGTCTGAAAGGTGCTCCATTCCTCAAAGTTGGTGAGCAGCCTGTACTAGTAACACCTTCCAGAATGTCTCTGTGACCTGGGACCAAACAGTCACATCCAAAACTACCTGGGAACAGAACCTGATGTCCTCAGTCACCTCCCCAATTTTCTCAATGACTCAAACATCACTCGGTTTGTGAAGTTGCCTGACCCAACCCATCACATGCTCACCTGATGATGACAGCAGTGTGGAGGCCAGGTTAGATGAGGAAGGGTTAACCTCCCAGTGCCTGTCTTAGGATTCCTGAAGGCCCTATTATCCTGAACTATTTTTCATAATTACTGCCACACACGTAGACTACATCAAGAGTGAATCTTCACTTTGATAATTTGTGCTGTGAAATCTCACTTTGGGATCTACTTTTATCTCACACCAAACACCTGCAGGTTGTAAAAGGCGAAAAGGAAAAGAAAATGCCTCAAATCCTAGCCAGGTTTTCAAGTGTCAGAGAACACTAAATTAATGCTAAATTCTAACCGACACAGTAAAGAGCCCCCCACCCTCTTCTTAAATTAGCTAAACAAAAGGACTGAGACTTTAACATATAATTAAGGCACAAGGAGGTAAAGCTGTAGCTGCTAAAGAAGGCAATGCAGACCTTTCAGAAGTTAAGATGTATCCTAAAAACAGAGGGGGAGAAGGCTTTGTGTTTCAGCAAAAGGACTGTGAGTCAAAGTCCCTGCAAACCTCTCAAGGCTTTGCCAGCCTTCTGGTAAAATGCAAAGCTAGGTAATTACACTCCACTCTGCTTCTGTTTCTACACACCCAAAATGGAGCCTCTCTCCCTTGCCGCACACAGAGACAAGAACTCTCTTTAATTAACCTCTGTAAAACCTCTGCGATCCTTGGATGAAAAAGGCTTCGTACCTTAGGAACATGTTTGCGCACATACACGAGACAAAACCTCCAGCACAAAGCTGGAGCTGAACTGCAGTGCATTTCTTCTCTGCAGCTTGTCACAGACCTTGAAGCTCATCCTTACCCATAGTTTCCATTCCAATCTGTAGAAGAAGGATTTTGTTTATGAAACTCAGGGAATGTCTGGATTATAATCTCTCTCCTGTCAAATTAACTAGGAAATGGTAACTCTCCTCAGGGGTCACAGATGCCCATGAAGCACACATTTAACATTTATCACTTCAGTTAATGAAATACCATCCCTGCCAGTTGCTGTAAGCACCTCTGGATGTCAAACTGCCAGGGGCAGATAAATGTCCTGTTCAATCCTACTACATTCTAATAAACAACTTTTAGGTAGGAACTTGTGTCCAATTTATAAACATTAAAGAACAGCTTGTGTTTCAATCCCATCCAGGTGCTTTACAATCCTGGCACAGGCCCTGACCACAAGGCTGTGCGTTTCACATTAACACGAGCAACTCATCTCAGAGACACAGGTACAGTCATCCACGGATCATCCAAGTGTGGGGAGAGACCTCTTGTCTGGGATTAGGAACAGTGGACTGACAGGAAGAACCATCAAAATAAGGCAGGGAGTACCCACTGTTTACACCTCATGCCTCCTTCATGCACCAGCTCTGACATACTTGCTCTTGGGCAGAATTTCAAAGTATCAGACCAAACTCAGCCCTGATGGAAATGGGTGCCAAACTCTTTGACTGCATTACAGAGGGGAAGAGGCACAGATTAAATGCTTCTGTGTGGTGGGGCAGCATCATGAGAGACAGTGAGGACGAGGAGAAGGCCGGCGAAGCTGCTGGGTGGCAAAGAGCAGCCGGCACAGCCGCTGTTCTCACTGTCCGCCTGCTGTGCTGATGAGATGCACAAGCAGCATCCTGAGCAGTTTCTCCCAGGCTCAGGGACGGTGGTGCAGGACTGCAGGGATGTGATTTACGCCGCAGGGAGGGCGGCTAAGTCATTCTTTGGAGTGGGCACAGTCTGTGTGGTCCCCGCTCTCCCTTCTGCTGGAAAAGTACAGTGCGCTGGCCGGGCAGGAGCGATCTCACCCGGCACCAACCCGCGCGCATCCCAATGAGGGGGGAGGGGCCCACGGACACTCTGCTCTGCAAATACTCCTTTATTAAGACATAAATATAAAGCTGAACAGGAAAGGAGCAATGACAGGGTAAACCATGCCAGTACTGATCTGTACGGATGATCTTACGATGCTCGAACATCTGGTTCTGCTGCTGGCTTCCATAAAATCATCTTTAAAAGCTACTCGGGTTATATCTCCATCAGCTGTTCGGTGCCCACAATGACTTCATTAACATGTTTGGCTGAAAAGAGAGAGGGAGGAAAAGAAGAGCAATTGAGTTTTGCAGCAGAGCTTCAGACCTTGCATTTTTTAAATCTGCAACTTTAAAACAAATGAGAAAAGCAGATTCTGGAGAACTCAAACAGAGATTTGCTGAACTCAAGCGTCTTTCCGACAGTATCCCACACACATGGTGAAAGCCTAAACAACTGACTAAACATCAGGAGATTTCTCTAATGAGAGTTTTCACATGTATGTGTCACTAATAAACAAGAGAGGCCCTACGGAAGTCACAGCTGCTACTGACAGGTGTACACCTAGGTCAAGGCAAGGAACCGTCAACATCTAACATGGAGATTGGACATAAAATTAAAGATCAGTAATCCACCCTGGCGCTAAAGAGCACTGTCTAACCCAAACTGCTTGGATGCTGGGGGGAAAAGGGCTGCTCAGCACCAGGGGGCCATCACCAAGGCAGTGTGAGATCCTCTCAGCAATCTCAACTCAGCCCTGGCAGCTTAAAAACAAGAGATTTTTTGTGTTTTATTTTCTTTTTTTTTTTTTTTTTAATTTAAATCTGACCCTCAGGAGCAAATTTGTTGGAGGGGCAATTTCTGCAAGGTCACTCCTTTGCCTGTTCCCAGGAGCTTTGCACAGCCCCAGTGGACACATTAATGTGCCAGTCCCTGCCCCAGCACTGTTAATGCACTGTACTGAAAGAGCCTTCCCTTTAAAATGCAAAAGCAGCTTGTCAGGGAAGGACTTCAAATAAAGGATCTAAAGCCAAAATAATAAAAACACGCAACTGAAAGCCCAGTGCTTAAAAAACCCAAGCATGTGGCCTCAGAGCATGACACAAAGCTGGTGTGCTCAAAGTGGGTGTCCTTGGGGTACTGTGGGGGAGGTGGTGAATCTAAACTGCTCTCCAGGAGCTGGACACCTATTCAGGTGGAGCTCAGGTGGTGAGTCCCATGCCCTTAGGCTCTTCATCTTACCTCCTGCAATTAGGAATAACAATTGTCTCTGGAGCCTGGGATAAAGTGTCAAGGCCTGTGAGGGGCTGGGATACACCAGTGGAGGCTCTGGTGTCTCCCACACCTTACACAGCAGTGGGGGTAGATAGCCAAGGATGATGGAAACGATGAGCTGTGTTTTATTTACCTACAAAACTCCTCCCCTCAGGGGAGTGTATCATGCAAGATTGCTGCAAAACAACAAATATCCCACCTTTGGCTAAAGGAAGAAATTCCTGGCAATTCCCAAAGTGGCTGGGCCAACATGGTGCTTCTCTTGGTTTAAAATTCAAGATGCAACCTTTTGTGCCATGCAAACCATTGCTCCAGTAAAGGTTTGATCAAATTGTGCTCTATAAACCTCTGCACTGTGGCAAGATAATTTCTCACCGCAACCTGAACCCCACAATCATATGGATCGTATGCAATCTTCTCAGCCTGAGGGACAGAATGAGTGAGCCACACCACTTCCTTTCAGAGACCCTTCGTGAAGGCTAAAATAAGGAGACCAAGGGGCTGCTTCTCACCTGCAGCATCAGATTGAGACATTCAGCTCTTTGCTCAGGGTATTTATTGTAAACTGGTAATTAGTCCTGGAGCCTCACATTAACATCCTGGAGCTCAGTCTCCAGCACTTTGGGCAGGATGAGCAGAGGTGGATGCAATGCTCAGGAAAATGAGGGGCTGACTGTACAAGTGCCAGGTGCAAGCATGATGTAGGTAGCACCACACAACTTCTCCAGGACAACTCTTGCCAATAGCCCCAAGTCCAGCCTTCAGCACCTCTCTCCTCCCGTCCTGGACCCCACACAGCCTTGCCAAGGTACCTCAAATCCAACCTGCAGCATTTCTTGCTATAACATTCCTCACCCCCAACAACTTTCCCAATATATCTCAACAGGCCCTGTAGCAACTCCTGTGACTCCATTCCTGAACCTCCTCCAAGCAGACTATCTATCATGTTGATTTCTATGATGTGAATAAGACCCTGGCTACCATCCAGTGAGAGTAATTATATTATGCCTCTGCAGATTAAACATGCCTTCATCTAGGCTTATAGAGAGCCATGTCAATTTATGGTTCTATATATAGGTTATCTGTAGCAATACTTTTTAATAAGGAACTTCTTGCTTCATTTCAGACAGCATCCTCCACGGTCCTAAATGTGCAGAGCTGGGATGGGTCCTGTCACATACCTTGCTGCAGAAGTGGTAGAGACTATTTGTATTTTGCACTGACATGCTTGCAGCAGCCTTATGGTGTCTTGTATTTTACACCTGATGAGTTCAAAATGCTTTTTGAGAACGGGTGAGTAAGAGCATTCCTGTTTTACAGATGGGGAAACTGAGGCAGCAGTGAGTTTAGGGAGCTTCAGCAGCCAAAGCCACATGGGAAATTGGAGCATTCCCTCATCTCTCACCCCTGTGCCTGTTTCATCTCCTCCTAGATCCCTGTGGCCCAGATTCCCCAAAGTGGGCACACATGGTATGTCACTCTTACTTCAGACTCATATCACCAAACGTATTTCTTCTTGCAAAGGCTTACAGAAAACACATGAATCTGCCTGCCTAAAATCTGCGAGAAAGTTTTTAAGCGATAAAGGGAATGGTTTTGCTAGAAACAAAGCCCCATTCCGTACCCCAAGGGGATGTGGTAGGCAGATAAGGATTCACCCTGCTTCCCTCTTCCATTCCCAAAGCCCTTCTTGAGGAGCGAAGGGAATTCAGACTCCAGTGTGAGTGCCAGAGAGCTGAGCTGTGGATAGTGTTTCATTATCAGACGTGGCTGCCAGTTGCCAGTGGCTCTGGCTGGTACCAGCAAGCTCAGTTCCCGCAGAAACTCTGCCTGAAACTCTGGGGGAGGAGGGAGAAGTACCTCACATGCTTTGCTGTTCAGCTCCCTTTCTCCTTCCCCAGCTCCCCATTACGGATTTCTTACCAGGCTGCCTTTTATCTGACACTGGCAGGGTTACAGATGCATTCAGCCCACAGAGAAAGAAGACAGATTAGAGAAAGGACTTTGAGAAAGCCGTAAGAGTTGGACTCTTCAATCTTAAATCATGTTCAACTAGATCTTCTCAGATTGGGAGCATCTGGTGCTAAGCAAATCCAGAGCTGATCAACATATTCAACCTCCTGATTAGCACTTTGCTTCAAGTTGCTGACGCAGCCCAGCCTGAAATTTGCCTGGGTGCTTGAACCGAGTGTCCACAGAGACTTTACTGAGTGTAAATCAAAAACCTGTCACTCGTTATATACGCGTTCCTGCTTGGGAAGACATTTGTTTACACATACTGTACACTAGCCCCTTAAAAACATACGCACAAGGCGAGCTAGAGAGCAGAACAGCTTTTGGTGCTTGGCTAAAAACAAATTGTAATGCAAATAAACAGAGGGGCGGAAATGACTGCGCAGCCCAGCACAAACCCCAGCAGCAGGCTGGGGGCCGGGGACCCAGCGCTCCCCAGCCTTCCTGGCAGGTTCCTGCCAAGCCACTCACAGAAAGGGGATGCCGGAGCATTCCTTTAAAAGCCATGTGAAAGCATCTCCTTGTTGTTTGCTCAATTAGCCCCAGACAGATTGCTGCTGCTGCTGCTGGTGGCAACGCTGGGTTGTAAAGGAGGAGGGGAAGGAGGGGAAAGGGAGGAAAAAAAAAAAGAGAAGAAAAAAAAGGGTTAGGGCCTAGGCCCAGGACCACCACGAAGTTTCAGCCCTCAGGGGCTCCAGAAAACGTTCAGTTTACTCACTCAATTACATACACTGTTTTATAAACCCTTTAAAATAAAATAGAAAACAGTCCCTGGCACAGAATTACTGCTCTATTATACAGCAGTGATGAAAGCCACTGCTGTGTATTTGCTCTCTTTAAAGCAAGAGATAGTTTAACTTAAAAAACTAGGTGGGGGGGAGGGGTGGCTGCAGAAACGCATGCACGAAAACACGCTGTGGGTGGTTCCCACCACATTCACCCAGGACAGAAAGGATCAGAGAGTGGGAGAGAAGAGCAACTTGTCTCTGCAGTGATGGTTGGCTCTGGAAAAGCAGCCAGGTTAGGGGGGGGGAGAGGAACTAAAGGGGCTTAAGGGGATGGGAAGCAGCTGAAGCTTGACTTTGGGAGGCTGGAGGGTGTTTTAAATTACATGTACAGATAAAGAAGGGAAGCAGGTGATGGGGGCTGATTTGTTTGTGTTTACAGAGCAGTGGGACTTTCCAGTCAAGGCCTGTTCTCTCCTCAGCCAAGCTTTACTTCCACGATCACTGGAGACCAGGGTGACCACACTGTGGCCCCAAAGGCCAGGCGTGTCTCACAATTTCTCCCAAGTGCCAGGTCAGCCCCAATGTGCAGGCATCAGTTGAGCCCATGGGTCCCCAGCAACAATGATCCCCATGAGCTGAGTGTTCCAGCTGCTGCCAGGATTCCTTTATGCAGGGAATGAGGGATGTGCAGCTCACCCCAGGAGGGTTAGTGGTAGCTTCAGGCAGATCAGTTCTGGCCCACAGCTGGGGCCTCCAGCCCACAGAACAGACAGGCAGCAGGGATCTTACTTCTGCCTTACATCCAACAACCACCAGTTCTCAGTGCTGGTGGCCCCATGGTTCAGCTGAGGTTTTTTTCATAGTTCAACCAGAATTAATCCCTTTGCTCTCAACCCTTCTTGAGACTTGTCTTGAGAGTGTGAAGGTAAGAGTGATTCAGTGCCCAATGAGAGATGACTTTACTGTGGGTTGGAGCAGATAGATTGAGGGAGTGAAGGTAGAGGACAGAGATGTACAGGGAACTGATCACATAGGGTCTTAGAAGAAAGGTTAGTAAAGGATAAAGGAGACCCAGAGCTCGGGATGCAACTAAGATAGCAAGCTCCTTGGGGAGAGGGACATGCTTGATGTCCTCACGCTGGGACAGAGTCCCAGCAAAGTGTGTGAGAAGGGACTAGATTACATCCATCAGTGCTCCCATGGGCTATCATTCCCTCACAGCAAATGCAAGCAGGGATCTCAAAAACAGCAGT